AATAATCTTGAATCATGTTGTGGGAACACTTTTCCTGTTTATTCAAGATTTCAAAGATAATCTTTTTCATTAAATTGCGAGTATTCGAACAGTGTCTACCTTTCTTATGGCGGTATTGCCACGCCTTAAGAATTGAACAATCAAAGGGCTTAGGATTCTGACAACTCGATGAAAACGTTCTCTCCAAAATCTTAGAGGACCGTGATAACAGTGTTAGCTTAATATGATTTCTTCTCAAAAGATTCTTTCTAAATTGTTTGATGAATTGAAATGTATCTGGGTATCAGGCTGAACACCTGGTGCTTCAATTTATGACCAGTATTTGCTTCAAAGTGTGACTTTTGGCATTCTTGAGAAAAGCAGACGAATAATTATGCATCATGCATCTGTGTGTATAGTGTTTTTTTCTCAACAACTACGCATTGAATTAATTTGTCAAATGAATGTGTGGGATGTCGAAAAAACTTTGGGAACGTGTGAATGTGAACAAGCAACAAATATAAGGCTTTTACAGTATATAAATTAATCAATCAAGGATGATGAGATACAGTATTTCATTAGTGGCAGAACGCACAGCAAGATCCATTCGTTTGTTGATTGGGGACCTTTTTGCACAAACAAATTTTGCGGAATGGACAGACTGTTGAGAACAAACGTTCTCCGCAACAGATGATCAAATGGATAAAAGTGGAGCTTCTAAAGTGAAACTAATGAAGAGAAATAAATCACAACAATAAGCCCGGAACAAGGCCGGAAATGCTTTTGGTATTTTGAATTGCAAGAATTTGAAACATATTTAAATGTGCCCGGGCGATAAAACGGGAATTCAGACAACAGAAAATACCAACATCAGCAAACTTATTTTATTTGACACGCTTTTTGCAGAATGGAACGGAATTGATGAATGATCTGATTGAACTGAACTGTCAAGAGAAATGACCTTTTATTAATTTCTATTTTTGAAGTTCAAGTCCAGTGCTGGACAATTATTTTTTCAATTTTTGGATGGTTTTGATTGGCCCAGAATTGTAAGATATTTTTGGGGAGGGGGAAACTTAAAGTTTTCCTGATGAATAGAATGCAATATTTTAATTTCATTTGTATCGTTGATCAAGGCGTGGGGCAGTTGCCCAACACAGAGTGAAGGGGTTTATTTTATTTTTGATTATTTGTCCTCCAATTCTCCAATGGGGGAAGAACCCAATGAACATATTTTTTTTTTTGACGAGCAGAGACCCATGAACCTTTGCAAAATAAAATACAATGAGACATTTAACGATGAAAAAAAGTATGTATGTGGACGCAAGCTTTATTTTTTTTACGAGCTTGAAATAAAGGTCCATATGATATCATTAATGAGTATTCAGCAAGAGAGTTATTTTTGCATTCCAAAATTTCTTTTGAACTCCCAAGTCTGCTAATGTAGATTTTTTGCAGCCTTTCTTTAAAGAAAGAAAGGTCTTGATCCAGTCATAGTTTATAAGAAAAGAACACTGGATTTCTTTCTTAAAAAAAAGAAAGAAATCCAGTGTTTTTCTCTTATAAATTAAGACAGGAATTATTCCCGTGACTTTCTGACCCATTTTTTTTTGTAGCCGAGGCCCTGCATATTTTCGCCTAGGTTTGCCCACTTGGAAATCATAGCAGTAATCAACTTCGTTTACGTTGCACTTATAACGAGGACTCGCACACAGTTGTGATTCATTGCAGGTACTGTACTGAACAGTACTTGAGAAGAATGAGGGCAGTAGGGTCGGTTTTGTAGACAGGGATTTGAAGAACGCGAAACCTCGCTAAAATGTTATTGTTTCTTTCTCCGTATCTCGGTGGGGGGCTTTTTTCGTATTTGAGAAAAATACGACGGCTTCTGAAATTCCTGACCAGATCGCCAGTGATTTGAAAAATTAGGCGTAATTTAATCTGGCGAAAAGGTCGGAATCTCGTTGATTTTAATCACTTGATTCTTAGATATACGGTGCTGTATTCTCGTAGGAGGTTGGTGGTTTTTCTCAAAATGTTGGTGACGTTTTTAGATCTTCATTTTTCACATAAAAAAGAGTCACGCAAAGAAAATCATTCGCGGAAGTCGGACGAAAGGTTCGAACCTCCACTTTGAATTACTGCGATGCTATTTACGGAATTCATAGGAATGATATCTTTTTTCGTTATTGAGTGACGGTCTTTGAAATTTTGACGAAGCTTCGAGATTATTATTTTTTTTTCACGAGGAAAACTAATCACGAGAGGAAAATCATTTGCGGAAGTCGAGCATGCGTTTTGGTCGTTAACATTTGCCCCCTTTTGAAATTTATTGATTCTTTGCAGAGAAATTCAGATTTAAATTGCTGTGATAAAACGATTGTATTCGAGTTCTCGAGAATCGTCCTCCAACTTCCGCTTCCACCTTGGGTGTTCCTAGAATAGGTACGTTTGTAAAATAAAATTGTATGGTTGAGCCCATGCAATTGTTAGGCTTTAGGATTCTTTCAAGGTTTTTATAAAAAAATAACATTACTGCATGATGATTAGTGAAAACTTTCCAGTTCCGGCAAGAGTTCTCCATTCATGTCTGTAGCTGTTGAAACTTTTTCAGGCCTTTTTTTCAAAAATTGAATTTTGTTTTGTTTTGCATCTTCTAAAATTTGGTAAATGTTTCAATGATGATTAAAAAAAATTAAAAGTCAAGTGCATTTTGCATTTTTTCAAGAGCAGGGGCTCATTTCAAATGTTTTGTATTTCCACTTCAAAAATTTCATCCAGTGAGGCCCATTTTTTGCCTGGAATATTTTTCTTACTGCCTTGAAATTTTATGAAACTCAAGTTCATTTTTTAATTTTTGAAAATCTTCTGGCTCAAAATCAGAAAGCAGGGTAAGAGACGTCTGCCCAAGTCCGGTTTGCGAAGTTTGGAAAACCTCCTTCGAAATTTTGTAAAATTGACGCGTCCTTTTCATTTTACTTTTAAGCTCTATGATCTTATTGCTTTTGAGATGCATTTTTTTGTCAAATGAACACTTTCAAAGATGCTGCGTCGATTTTTTGTGTGAAATAAAATCAAATAAAATAATTCACCGTGGAGAGAAAGGGACCAGAACAGTTCTACAGATTCGAAAATGTTTTGCATTTTCGAACGAACGAATTATTGGAAAATACTTGTTTTTTTTCTTTTGCTCACGTTGACAAGTTGTTGGCACGAGGTGCATAATTGCAGCCATCAGGAAGGATTGCAATTTCGCCTTTTGACTGGAGCTGAAGTGGAAAAGTGACGACGACGTCGAAGCTGGTCTCGGCTTTGTCGTCGTCATTTCGGAAAACTTCTCGTCCGTCGTGTCGGTGTCGTCTTTGGCAAAATTTTGAGGAACGTGCTCAATTTGCCTTCGTTTCCTCTTTGAATTCTCGTATCCGAGAAACGTTTCTTTGATTTTGCTCTTTTCTTGATGCAATATCGTGGTGTTGGATGTGAGATGCGACCACGGAATATACTTTTGCATTGGGATTTCACTTTTTGTTCACTTGGAAACGCGAGCGATCATCACACAAGTGTTGAATCCTGTCCACATTAGATTTCAAGGTAATCATTCGAGTTTTGGCAAAGGTTTGTTCTGTTTACGTGCAGTAAAACCTCTTTGCAATGAAGCTGTTGTTGTGACCGGGAAAACACCTTCGTTATCGCGATAATTTTTTTTAATCGAGCGATTTGAATGAAGTTATTTCTTTTGTGAAGGGACTTGAAAAACGACGTCGTTGTAAGCAATAGGTCTTCATAAAGAGTATTCGTTGTGACGAGATTCTACTCTGTATTATGCTTTATAGTTGAAATGTCTCTCGCGTGTGATACCCGACGAATTTCGTTGAAGAACACTGGAATAAAGAGCGCATCAATCATCGAACATTGGTTGGAATGCAAAATATTGAATCCTACTCGTGAAAACATTCCGATGAAAGGTTCATTTCTGTTGTGATATGGTAGCATTGCATTTTTACATTTTTGTGGATCGAAAAACTCGATGAAAAGAAGTCCTTGGTATAATTTTCAAAGTCGGAAAATTTTTTGAATGAAATTCCTTTTATAATGTGAAATAGTAGCATTTAATTTTACATTTTCATGAATGGAACATCTCATATACGGTAATTGAGAATTTGTCATGATAATTTTCAAATTTTCACACGAAAGTTCCAGTTTTCACGTAGAATTGTATCATTGAATTTTCAATTTTCATGGATGAAAAATCTCATGAAAGAGTATTTCTCAGGATCACTTTCAAAGTCCGAAATGATTTAAAGTTAAAGTTGCATTTGTTAATGTAAAAGGGCGAGATTGAATTTCACTTTTGTATGGTTGGAAAACGTGGATCAAAAATGTGTCCGTGGGATGATTTTTGAAGTGAACCCAGTCGTCGAATTGTGGAAATTTTCCCATCCTAATCGAAAAAAATAAGCTATAAAGTTCATTCTCACTTCTGAAATTCCAGCAATTCAGGGAGCATCACTGTTTTAAAAAATGGTTGTGAAGTAATTTTGGAGCTTTGAAATTTTAAGCTTTGAGGCAATTGTACTGAAAATAAGATGTCATTCACGGAAGAACGTTTCATTCGAACGGGTAGCAAGTTTCCCGTTGCTTGAACCTCAATAAATATTCCGGTGCAATTGATTAATTTCTGTCCGCGCGATTTGAAAAATTTTCATTAGAATACGGTTTATTTTATTCCTCCTCGTCCCTTATTTGAATTAAAGAAAAAACCCCTCGACTTGGTTTTTCGCTCGATTTTTCACTTCGGCGTCCTGCGATTGACAACGTTGTCCCCAAAAATTTCAGCAACCGGTCGTTTCGTCAAAAAATTTTTCTCTTTACGTGTAACGAGCTGCTGATGACGAGCTTTCGTGATTTGATTGATTGAGTTCTGTTGTGGGACCATGGAGAAAAAGAGCACCTGGATTTTTTTTTCTCTCATGTGGTATGTGTGGAAAAGCACCAAGTAATCAGTTGCAACGCGTGCGACGATGTGCAGGCGATTCCGTGGAAACGGCCCGACGAGTACAAGCTGGGCCATTGTGATTTCTCCCGGGTTGTTCCCATTTTTCTCTCGACTCGTGTGTCCGAGCTTCGTATCATTCGGAAGAGGACCTTAAAAAAAATGGAGTACGAGAAAGGAAAAGATGGGCGAATGAAGACTACGAAAAAAAAAAAATATATATATATATATATATACAGTATTGGCAATTCCATAAAAGGCACCTTGTTTAATTTGTATCCCTTGACGTGGGTTCGAGTCGTCGGGTTTGAGTCGTCATTTCAAGAATTTTTGCTTCATTTCACTCGCTGAAGAATTTAGCCGACCGAGTTCAGCGTGTTTATTATTTTAAATGTATTGAAGAGATATACAGAGATTTCCTGGGTGCTGCGAAATATGAGTATTTTCCTTGTCGGCAATTCTTCAAAACTCAATTCCATTTATTGTAGAATTTTATGGCGCAAAATGTTTGCGAAATTCGCTGGAATCAGCCTATGTAGTGTATTGAATGAAACTGCTGCTTGTCAGTAGTTTCATTATTGCCGAAGGGAAATATGAAAATGAAACAACTCTTCAGTAGGGAATCACTTATTTGAAACAGAAGTGAATCCTCTAAAAATATTGTAGATCGGGAATGGAAAAAACAATAAAATTTCAATTCAACAAACTCGCTGCTGGGACCTGAGAAAACCCCCTTTATACTGTACTGAGACTCACGGGTTTTATCACATGTTGGACTGACATTTTCGTGTAAAATGGATAAATATAGATATTGTGAAGTGCTTTTGTGACATATACAGTAATTTAAGCCCTCTCATAATTTCCAAGTCTCTATGATAAAATCGAGATTCAAATTTTTGAAAATGCATCAATACGAATATACTGTTACTCTCTTGAATTAAATTTGCCTTCCGTCTGATTTGCTGGTTGTGTTGAAAAATAAAATGGAGCTAAGATTAAAAATGAAAAAATGCGTTCCTCCGAATTATCTAATTTCTTCAAACCATGTTCTTCTTCGAAGTCAATAAATGTGCCATCCAACATTATCTTAGTTTGAAAGAAAGGCGAAAATTCTCAAATGTAGCTAGATAATTTCTAAAAACTGTGTTGTGCTTTGTATTCCCTTGAAAATTGAACATTCATCGCAGAAAAGGTCGCTTTTTGAAAGAAATTGTAATCCTGCACAAGTTACAATTTTCAATGTCTGCCAATTATCGAATGATCCCTGTGGCCCGTGCTCAAAATCATTGTCAACAGATCGTTTTGCTGATAGTAAAGCTTGAAATGAGTTTGTTAGAATGAGATTTTCGTAACATGTCTTTCGTTATGAAAAGCTCCTATAGAAGAACTGTTCGGACCAAGAAAAAATTCGTTATACCGAGATTTGTTGGGAGAGAATTCTACTGTAATTGAATCTCGTTGCAACGAAGTGTTTGGGACATTAAAAAAGCCTCGTTGGAAATAAAAAAAAAAATTTGTTGAAGCGAAATGAATGCAACATTGTGGCTAATGGACAGCTGGGGCCGAAAAATGAATTCGTTGTAACGTGATTCTACTGTAGCGCGCGTTTTGTGACATTTAGGTTTTTGGCGTGATTGTTGCATTTACGGAGTATTTTGTTGGTTTGCGAAAAGCCGGAACTGGTGTCGAATGTTTCAGTCAGCTCAAGTTATTTATGGACTATTGACAGGCATTCGGTTTGGCCTTGTTACTTTTCCTCCACCCATCAAAATTATGTTTCAGATGCTGCTTATGGTCATCTGGTGAAGCTATAGTCTGAAAAAGTGGGATGCGTGCTCGGAATGACGGTCATTCACGAGACGATTGTGTCCGTTTTAAATAGTTTGTTTGCTTTCAGGTTTCCGTCGGAATCCCGTTTTTATTATTTTTATTTTTTTTATATACTGTATTGTACTGTATATCATTTGTAGTTCTTCGTAAATCATCGGTGAGATTTTTCTTCTTTTTTTTTTTTTGTACGAGGACTTGATGAACGTGCTGTTTCGTCTGTGTCGAACTCGGCGGAATTGCGCCCGAGTCGCAATAACGGGCAGCTTTAATGACGAAAGAGGGAGCTCATTTTACGCGTGATTGCCGACTTTTTTGTGCAATGAAGCCGTTTGTATCTGGAGACCTGGGACCTATTTTTTTTCTCGTCTGTTTCGTGTCTATATTTTTTCTTTTCTTCATTTTTGTTGTCGTTTGTCGAGGCTGATGTGCATCTTGAAATTCGGCGTATTAATATTTAGAACTGAGATTTAAAAAGAAAATGATAATTTGTGTTGACCACGAGGAAGAAGGAAAGTCTTGATCGGGGCTAATTGTTTGGGAAGACTTTGAAAATATCTTTTGTGGGTCTGAGGAATTTTCATGATTGAAATCCCGAATGATTTTTTTTTTGATTCCAGGGATTTAGGAAAATTCCTGTGAGTTTCACACATGAAATGTCAGTGAAGGACTGTAAAGCGTGGATTTTCTTTTTTGTTTAGCTTAATTTTATGTGTTGGAAATTTCGTCTTATTATCTGCTTTTGAAGGTAAAAATTTGACTGCAGGAAAAATCAAGTCATTTTTAGAAGGATGATCCGCAAGAAAATGAACGTGTCCATTTTTAATGACCTTGGACTGGAAAAAAGAATCAGAATCGTGTAAAACTTGTCCTTCTCAAGACCAAAGTTTCGTATCATTCCGTAGTGATACTGATTTTCTTCGAAATTTTTAAAGTTAGGAATGAATGCTTCCTCCATGAATGGAAAATTCCTGATGAAAAGTCCTAATGAAGTTGATTTCGAGTCTTGACTTTAACATGCCAGGACATCGAGAAAGATACTCACTTTTTTTCTGGGTTCTTGCAAATTTTCATGCAGAAAGAAAACGGGAGAATCTGCGTTCTATTTGAAATACATGTACAGTAGTATAGTATCACAGTAAGGTATGCTTTTAACAATTCAGTTTTCGTGCACAAATCTTGATTTGCTTAATAAAGAGTACTGTATAGAATAGATTCAAAGACAACCAGAGATAATCTGCCGATGTTAGGAATGTATTGGTGACTGGCGCATGTGTTCAAATTTTTGGAAAACCCCGTATAAAGGCTATTTTCTATTGGGGAGTGAGTGCTAAAAAATTGTGCCAAGTTTGTTCTACTGTATTATGTTGATCTTGGTATTTCGGCGTAATCAAATACAGTACCGGGAGAAGTAATCTAAAATAGGCCTGCTGATTTTACGAAGATCAATTTAAATGCTGACAAGAAATTCTTTTTGGACTGTATATTCTGTTTCCTGAGTAATATTACTGAATGTTCCCTCAGTAATACAGAATTGAAAAAAAAAAACATACCGACTGAAAATACAACGATTCCTTTCTACTGTATTACAAAAATACGGCTTGAGCAAATTATAAAAAATCTTAATTGTTACTCGTAAAATGAATGAGTGTGGAGCGAATTTTGAAAAATGAATGAGCATTTGAAAAAAAAATTGATTAAAAACTAGGTAAAGCTTGAAGCTATGATTTCTTTTCTGTTGCCGCACTGAGCGTATATTCAGTAGAATTATTCAATCGTCAAGATAATTTCAAATTTCCGGTACTGGGACTTTTGTTTCAAGATTACTTTTTCTGGATGCATTCAGTTTTTTTTAAAGATTTGAAAGAAAAAAAACTGGGCCGATGAAAGCAAGCAGAAAAGAGTCGAGGTGCGCGGTTTTTCCCATTTGGTCGTTTTATCTCTTGGCTGATGACGCGTGATTTGTGGCAACGGGATGAACTTTACGCGTATCGTCTCTTTTCCTGTGTCTTTTATGTTTATTTTTTTTTTATTTTTCTGCTGCTTTTCCGACCACTTTTGAGTGAGTGAGTGATGTTCATCCGGAGTGAAAGTCTTGATATCCTTGAAATGCGACACCGATGGAACAGACCGCAAGATTTCCTCCTCTTCGGTTTGATGCTTTTCTCTCTATTTCTGTCTTACTGTCGGTCATTGTCATGCCCCATAAAAAATCACACTTTTCAAAAAAATATTTTTGTGGTGAAATATTGTACATCTCAAACTTTGAAGGGACTGGGTTGAATGACCTACATTCAGTATAAAAATTTTTGCCTATTTTATAGCTGGATTTTTTTTTTCTGATGGAAAGCATAAGAGACAAAGCATAAGTTTGAATTATTTTTTGGAATACAGTATTATTAAAATGTCGCCTGAATCTCAAGCATTGCAGGAAATGAGCTCTATCTGAAGTACATCAGTTCGATTTAATGTACCTCGATCGGTCTGAGTTGAAGTTTGAGATTCAAAATTTTGGTGACGCCTGAATTTCAAGAAGTTTGAAAAAAACCCTGGTTGAATCAAAGGCGTTCCTCTGGGGTTAATTTTGCCTTTTGTAAGTGTAAAAACTCCGTGAATTTGTAAAATTTTCCCGTGTCTCTACGTTTGTTTTCATTTGCATCCTTTGATTATCTGATCATGAGATATTGAATGAAATTATGTACTCTATCATATGTAGTGTATCATGAGGATTTTTTGTATCATAGTCGACCATCGCATATTGCCACACACTTCCCGGGAGCTAAGCTTTTTCCAATTTGTTTTTACTGAAACCCCGATTTTATGCCACGAGCACTTTTTATGTTGAAAAAAAGGGCCCAAAATGACGCATTTTTCCAACCTCATCAATAGATTGAAATCGAGAAACACATCCCCATGCTCACATAACAATGCAGGGTGGATTTGAACATTGTTCTTTGAATTCACGTTGCTGAAAATATTTTCGTTGGTTCGGAATGCCTTTCTGCATTGAAAAAAGTGGAAATTTTTTCGGAAACAAGGGCGATTTATTCATGATAACACCTGGGTTTATGCCCAGATGCACACAAAATCTCAAGAAAGAGCTCTGTTGGATTTATTGGACGTAAAATGGGCTGAAATTTAATTCTCTGAATGCAGTAAATATTTTGACATACAACACAATATAATAATATCAGTGAATTTGAGCTTAGCATTATTTCTTGTGGCTATTTTTTTTTAAATAGACTCAGTGGCCTAACAATTCATTTTGCCAACGAGGGGAACCATTCAATAAAGGATAAACCTTCCTTTTCTTTAAACACCGTCTATTTATTGCCACTATCGCTTAATGCCACAAAATGACAAATGATGGTAATAAATGGGTCTAGTTGCCCTGGTTCAATCCATTTTTCCCGGTGTCCATTTTCCGTCTTGGAATTGTAAAAATTGTTACATTTCCTAATATTTTCCCCATCCCGGCTATTGATTGTGTCTAAAAAAAATTGATCATGAGATATTTATTTAAACAATTTCCATCCTTTCCTATTTCCTTATCTGTGAATAGGTAAGGCCTTTTCGGAAAGTATCTCAAACTGCAGTATTCTCATTGTTTCAGATGAATAATCAGTTGAAATTATTCAAGAAAAATGTGCGTCGAGTCGCTCGCATGGTTTATGAATGGGATACTTTTTTTTGGCAATATGAAAGACTTGTAAAATTTTTCACCGCCTTATCTGTGAATTGCTACGCGAAACCTCCGTATTTTTGAGTGTGTCAAAGTTTAAAAATCAGAGTTCCAAGCCTAAAATCGGTTTTTATGTCTGCTCTTGTTGTAATTTCTTTAATTTGTTTCCTGTTTAGTAAATTCCCCACGCGTTTACTGGGGTAATGACGAGATAGAACGTATAGAGCTTCGATGGGAGATATTTTTCAAATGTTATTTCCAGCGAGGTCAGGATACCATCTTACTGCAGCAATTTCGCTTGAATTGATCTGATTTCTTGGAGTAAAAAGGAAAAGCGTCTTCACATCAAAACTAGAGCATTTTCCGCAGCATCCACGCGTTGCTTTCCCTGAAATCCGTCGCACTTGTACGTTTAGTACTACTGCACTCGTGATAAAAAAAAAAAAGGGAGACTTTTCGAGAAAAGTGAAGCGTGAGAAAGAAAATCGACGAGAGCGTCGTTTTTGATCATGAGATGTTGTTGATGGACCGTGGTTTTTATTTTCGTTCTTCTTCGTTTTTCTTTTTTTTTCTTGATTGGCACTGCCAAGGACATGAGGTACGGCGGAACTCCTCTGCACTGGGTCACTCAACGACCCATCATGGAGGCGTTCATCAAGCTGGGCTGTCTGCTGGACGCCAGGAACTTTCTCGGCGACACTGCCCTGCACCTCATGGTGAGTTTATCCGAAGGGCGATACAGTAGAATTCTGTTACATACAACGAATCTTGTTATAACAAACTGATTTTAGGCTGTGTTGTCCTAAATTATCAGGACTATGAGTCAAGAAATGAAGGAACACTCGTCCTTATTTCTGGGTATAACAATACACTCATCCAACATACATTCAATACAAGTCCACGGAAGTACAAAACATACAAGTCCAGTTTTATCTTTAATTACAACTAAAGGTTTGAGCTTTGTCTATTTCAAGTCTATAAACTTTAATGTACGAAGCTTGGATGAAATCTGATCTCTCTCCATTCCAAGCTGAGGTATTTCAGCTTGGTCAATTGTTAGGAATGAACAGGGGAAAACAATTAAAACCCCACAGATGGGTGAAACCTTGGCTCTACAGAATGCAGTGGGGCCAATTGTGCCAACTGAAAGAAACACAATTCAACACGGCCTCATATCAGCAACAGTGACATAGTCTTGACAGGAGTTTCAAGTCTGAAGTCATTTCTCTCAATTGTTTTGCTTGAGCCTACCAGGACACCAAGATTGATAATAGAACTACTGTATATAGAATGGAGAGGTAGACTGGTATTTTGATGAAAGCCTAATTGACTTCTCATTGGGGATAATTGCAGAGACTTTCTAACTCTGACAATTTCCTTCTTCTCAGAAATGGGTTTCTACAAAGTACAAAAAAGGGCTCTCAGGAAGTGTTGTACTTTTAAGATAACAGCTGTTATCTCATTATCCTGAATTTTTGGTCATCATTTGGTGCATATAGACCATAGGGATTAATTGATAAATGGCAGAAAACTCAGAAAAAAATTTTGAAAGGTTTAGACTTCCAACTTCATTTATTAAATAAAGCTCTCTGCAAAGAAACTTTGTTGTTCAAAAATCTAAAAAACAGGACATACTTCTGGAAATTGTTTAGCTCCATTTCAGAATGTGAGCCTTTTTCAAGTGAACAGTTTGTCAGAAACATGTTCCTGTATTCAAAGGAGCTGTGAGTGAATAAGTTGATTGAGAAGGAAGTGCAGTGTTCCTACTACATTTACTATTGTTTCATTTTATTCTTCAAGACAACACTTTGGTATGGAAGTCAGTTTACTTGAAGGAGAGTACTACTGTATTTACTTCAGAAGATTTTTCTCCATTTCATCTGAAGGTTACAACATTAATTATGATAGGTCTTGAATTATCTGTCTTAGATGCACTTCAAAACATGCATTCCCCATTTCCAGCAAAATTTCGGTGTGAAATGTGCAAAAAACCCAGAACAATAATCTCAGTACAACATATTTTTTTATAAGAAATTTTTTCCCAAGTCCCCAGGAGTTAGTTGTAGCAACATTTTGCTGAAACTTGAAAGACATAGAGAAAGAGAGAGAGAGAGAAAAGAGATACAGTGCATCCCCAGTTAACAAACTTACAGTAATTGGTTTGAGATGGAAGTTTGTTGATTGAAAAGTTGGTTAATAAAATTTGAATTTTCTGTGGACTCCAATGGGAAGAAATTAATTCCGTTCTGTGAACCCATAAGACAATTGAACCGTGAATAGAAAAAATAATAAATATTGCCTTCAATCAGAAGATGTTTTTGCATCTTGTAAGTGCCCAGAATTTTTTTTAATGCGCTATGAAGGAGTTGGTGATGAAAACAAAGATAAAATCAGCTTCACATCCAGAGAAACTCGCACTGACGGATAGCATGTTAGGTGAAAATTGAATTTTTTTTTATTGCTGCAAGGAATTGAACAATTGAGCTAGAAAACCCCAGCATAAAAAGGAAATAATTCTGTCACAGATAAGCATATGAATAATGTACGTAGCTGAAAAAATTTTTAAAATGTAAGATTATACGTACATTATTGGAGTGCGAAGAGGAGATAATCTTCATGCCAGTGCATTGGTGAATTATCGGCGCTCGTATTGTACAGTACCATACATTTTAGTCTCAAAATCAAATCTTGATTGCTCAAATTTGGTGTTTTCCCCAGAAAAGAGTTTGTCATGACTCATGACTGAGGGATTTTTCTCGGAAACCAAAAGTTTTTAACCAAGAAACCACTGTACAGTACAGTACTGTGCAGTTAAACCCCAATAAGACGCCACCGTTTGCTTACTTCATTCAAAATTATTTGCCCTAAGAGAATTGGTTCATGAGTTAACAGTCTTTTTTTTTAAATAGGTCCAACATAGTTGCAACAGTTCCAATGAAAATATGTATTTGCCCAGCGCCATCATTTGCCGACTCTTCAGTGCCGTTCAACATACTCTCTGCAGATTTCCATTCATTTTTTATGCGATAAAAACAGTGCCAAAAATCGAGTTCCCTTAGTTGATCTAACTGCTGGGTGCCAATGATCAAGTAACAGAACTCGATTTTGACACTGTTTTTCTTGTTGTGTTTATTGTATGGAAAAGTGCTCTGAAATTGACAGAGAGTATGTTGAACTGCACTAAAGTGTTGCCAAGTGATGGTGCTATAGGAGTACAATTATTATTTTTTTAATCGGTGTAACACTGTTGGATTTACTGTATTTCAAAAAGTCCCAAAACTTATGAACTAACCCTCGTAGATTGTGTATACAGTACAGTACAGTCAAACCTCGTTTGTCAAAATACTCTCACAGTACTGTGCGTAGAAAATTTTCAAAAGTGATGTCCTAAAAATTCTAATTTTGCTGCCATTAAAATAATTGGAATTTTTTTTATACAATGAAGTTCTTTTGAAAAGCATGACTAACTTTCTTCTCTTCACTTCGATTCATATGTGATTCAATCGAACAATATTTCCTCAGACGATATTCGTCCCAAGGAACATGCTTTTCGAATTACCCTTTTTTTTCAGTGAGACGCTTCTCGGTTCAGTACTGACTTGGTTCTCATTTTTCTGAATCACTATTCTTCTAACAATTGAACCATTTTTCCGCTTCAATAAACAGGAAGAGTCACCAGAAGTTGAGTGCGAAGAGTGAGAGGATTTTGAAAATTATATGTTAATTTTTTTTTCTCTTGTCAAGAAGGCAATTTTATTCGTCATTTTCCGGCCCCCGTCTTCTGGCCTGAACTTGTGCAACATTGTTATCTGCACCTGTCCAGATGATTTGCTCGTGTAGTAGGATTCAAAATGTGTTCTAAAAAGGATGGAATTACTTTCCTCTTGCGGACGATGGAAAGAAAATTGCCTGAAATTGTTCTTGCTTGCTCGTCTGGCTTCTTTGTGACTTCGCTGCACTCGTTGAAGTGGAAAAATTATTACATTTTTGGAAAAAAAGATTATTTGGAAAATTGGAATGAACAAGCAGCTCATTTCCATGCTGTCTTTCGCGGTTCTAGGTGAAAGCTGGAGAAAAATGTACTCGTAGGATTCATTTCTTTTTATGATGGATCAATTGAAACAAAATTATATTCCGAATTGAGAGGAATGTAGTTTATTATTTAAAAGTACAGTATTTTTTGCAGTTTATGTAAAAAAAATTTGAGTTTGAATTTTGAAGAAATTTTTACTGTACTGTAATTTTCCACAGAAAAATTTCCCGGACTTGAATTTATTATTTTATGAAAATGTAACTTGGCTTGAATATCGTTTTCAATTAAATTATGCTGATTTGAAGCCATTCACTATTTCGAAGAAGTACTTTCAAATTTACTAAACGAATCCTGCGCTGAAATTACAAATCTTGAAATTGATTGCGAAACCTGGTCAACTCTCGCGTTTCATTTCAAAGAAGTTTGAAATCGACGTGATTTCACTAATTTTTGAATTGCTCGTGCATTTCGATTATTATTGTTTCCTCATTCAATGTATTGTATGTTGCCCATTCTGTTCAACCAAAATAGGTAACGTACAGCGTACCTGTTGTGTTTTATTCTTTGTGTCATGGCGACAAAATTCATCATGCATAATTATAGCACAATAATGCAATCGCATTTGTTGTACAGTAATGATATTTGGTACTTTCCTGTTATCTCAGTACCTCATTCCTAGACTCAAATCTTCAGGACGAGTTCATAATCACGACGACCTACCAGAAACTGTGAATTTTATTTTTCCGCATTCTGCTGAAACACCCAAAGAAAGCAGAAACTGATTTTGGGAGGCGGGATTTTGGCCTCCCAAAATCAGTTTCAGTAGAAACCCAAAGAAAGCAGAAACTGATTTTGGGAGGCCATTAGGTGAAGTTATGTTAGGTCAGGTTAAATTGGTCAGAGGGAAGGTACAGAGATAACAGGAAAGTAGGTACTGAAATAACAGGAAAGTAGGTACTGAAATAACAGGAAAGTAGGTACTGAAATAACAGGAAAGTAGGTACTGAAATAACGGGAAAGTAGGTACTGAAATAACAGAAAAGTACGTGATATTTTATCATCATATTTCTGGAACAAAAATATCATTAGAACAAATACTATTGCATCTAATTTTTCTGTGTAACAAGCCTTTTTGTAAGTCCCGGCAGAGTGCCTATGGAGTACACGTTAAAACGAGCTCATTAAAACTAATTTCCTATTTCAAGTTTATCAAACTTTTCCAAGAATGTCTAATAAATCCTCTGAAATTTCTCATCCGAAATTGGATGAAATAAATGTTAAAAAATGTAATAAAAAATCTGAGAATTCCAGAAAAGCAAGATCTATCTATAGTCCGAATATATAGTCCGGTCCGATGTGAGAATGCCTCCCTGTCAATAATTTTGAAAATGTCAAATTATTCAGTATGAAAAAAAAAGGTTTCCTCAAGTCCCCCAAAAGTTGCCTGTAATGGGATGTCACGTTTTATGTATCTTTTTTTGTGCTCGTTGGCAAGGTGCAACACGACCGACTCGCGTGTGCAGTGACGCTGTTGAGCCACGGATGCGACGTGAACGCGGAAGACCGAGAGGGCAACACGCCGTTGCATCTGGCCTGTAGCATGGGCCGCATGAACCTGGTCAAGGGCCTCTTGGCCATGGGGGCGTCGCTGCGGAGTCGGAACAAGGAAGGCATGTGGCCCAGACACATGGCCGCCACCATCAAGAACGTTAGTTGAACGATTGATCCTCTGAGTCTAAGGTTACGAGGGTTATTGGGTCATCAGTTTCAAGACTTTTCGAATTAGATCCGACGGAGTTCCAGAAATTTTTATTTTATCGCATATCTCCATAATTTGGCACCACTTCACTGCTGTTCAATTTATTCTCCGCTGATTTAATTTTTCATGCGCTAAATCCAGCGATCAAAACTGTGCTGATGATCGACTTGTGATAGTTGATGATAGGCACCCTGTGAATAATTTTGTGTTTTTGTCTGTTATTAACTGTGAAGAACGACTTGGAAGAGATTGATTTTGAGTACAGGGTTCAGCCGCATTTTCGCTGCGGAAGAGCAGTTTAATCAACGAACAGAACTCGATTTTTTGCACTGTTTTTATCGCATAAAAAATGCATTGAAATCGGCGGAGAGTACGTTGAACAGCACTGGCGTATTGTCAAATGATGGGGCTGTGCGAGAAACATTTATTTATTTTTTTTCAATCGTTGAAAGTAAGTCTCATAATCAACCCTCATAAAGAAGATCACCGAAAAGAAAGGATAGTTTCAAAGGGACTTCAGACATGGATTTGACGGAAAATTCTTTCAATAAATTGAATTTTTAATAAAAGAAAAGAAAAAACTTGTACTGTATTCCTGAAATAATATTAAAAAGGGGAAAAAATCATGAAATTTTCTGATAGTTTTTATATAATGAAAAATATTTTTGCAAATTTATTTGTTACTCAATAAATTTAGCATTTTAGTCGACGAATTTTCTTAATACAGTAACAGAATATTGTTTAAGTAAGTATTGAATGAGAATCGACCATGGGAGGTTTGAGTTATTGAGGTTTACTAGTTTGCATTTCAGCCAGCTGATAGGAATCCCGTGCTGTACTTGTTGCACGCCGTCGGCGCCCCACGATGCCCAGTGCGATACCCCTCATGCACTCCTGGCTGTAGCCCAGACGGCAACGAGCAAGGAGCGCCTCTGTCAAATTCTGGCGTCCATTCTCCGTTCCACCCGGATTCCTTCTCCGACTTTTTGTCAAACTTGGCCAACGAAATCAGCACTCACAGGCAGAAAACTCAGCAGCAGCAGCAGCAACAACAGCAGCAGATGATGAATGATGATGAGCAGCAGCAAGGGAATAATGTGGAAGACGGAGGTGCTGCAGCAGGACAGCAGAAGCCCAAAAAGAAGATGATGAAGAAGAGAATCAGTTGCTTGTCGCTAGATGGCGGCGGAGTACGGGGTGTGATTTTGTGCCAGATGTTGCTGGCGCTAGAGGACGCTCTCGGCATGCCGGTTGCGGACTGTTTCCATTGGATCGCGGGAACCTCGACCGGGGCGTATCTCGCGTTGTTTCTTTTGAACGGTGAGATGATTTTTCAGGTGTCGAAATTCTGTTCGGTGTTCACACTGTACAATAGTTGACGAAAAGGTCCTCTTTTGTCACTTTTCAATTGTTCCGTGTATCTTAGAACAGAATCAAAAGCGTTTTGTACTTTTTCAGAGGTCGTATAATTTAAACATTCTTGCCGCGTGTTGCTGAAATGATAATCTCATTGCAGTCGATCGATGAAAAACTGTAACGGAAATTCCGCAGGTATTCAGAAGCTCAGGAGAGACAAAAACCATTTTCCGCTCCGCTTGAATCTACAAATTCCGGAGTTCCAAAGTTGATTAGAGAAATCATTCCGATTCAAAAGTTTTCCCTTCACCGATTAATTGCTTTGTGGAAAAACTGATCCGTAGAATTATTATAATAATTGAATTTTGAATTTTGATGGTAAAGCTCGTACGTTTTCGACATGGTCTAAGTTATTTCCATTGTTTGACAAAGGTTTCTTGCAGAAAAGAGAGAAGAGATTCCGGAAAAAATAATTTTTGCCAAAGTTTCGAAAGTACAGCGATCAGAACAAAACTGAAAAACATGTTATCGTAACGAAAAACTTTTTTTCTTCCTTGATAGAAATCCTGTTGTTCATTCTTTGGCATTTCTTTCATCATTCTGTGAATAGATTTTTCTGTAATATCCTTGCAGTAACTAGAAAAATATTTCGCAATCGTATCAGTTGTGATTCGTCTTTCGTCGTGAATCTGATGATCATTTTTTCTCAACAGGCAAAAGTGTCAGAGAATGCCAGCGTCTGTATCTGCAGCTCAAAGACCAAGTGCTCCAAGGAAGTCGTCCCTATTCTTCGGAGAAGCTGGAAGAGTTTTTACGGCTTCATCTTGGAGACGACTCTGTCATGACTGACATAGAAAAAGCGAGGTTTGATCGTATTCCTAGAATTTTTAAAACTTCGAGAAACATTCTGTTTTGTGTTCAGTTTCTGGTGTGCCAGAATTGTTGGTAAATGCCTGTACTAAAATAATGATAGAATTTGAAACAGTGGCTTCTCATTCTTGGAGCTATAACCTAATAATAAAAGTGTCAATTTCTGTAAGAGGAAGGCATTTTGACGAATTTTTGAGTGTTTTTATATTGCTCCAATCAATTAAGAGATATCATATTTTGATTGATATAAACGCTTCATTTGCTGCTTGTCATCGTTCAGAGGCTGAAAAATTCTCTCACATCCCCCACGTATTCATTCAACACTTTTCAGCAAAAGAAAAAATAATGCACTCCATAGGTATGAAAAGAAAATTCATCTCAGTACATACAAATGCCTGAATAATGGATACCTTTTTATGACAAAAATCATAGCACAAGTCAATTACTCAGCACGAACAAAAGCACAAGGAGTTTAGCCTGTTCCCAGATAATTTTTAATTGATTCAATAATTTAGAAAGAATCTTAGAGGATAAATCAAATGAAGCTAGCAATTTTTCCTGGTCCTCAGATTTTGGAGAGTACCTTTGTTATCAAATTGTGAAGAACCGATGTCTTTTGTCTGCTCAATTCTTTTGGTGTGGAATGCTGGGCATTCGAAAAGATGGTGCTCTGGTGATGCAGTTACAAAGATACAGTATTTACAATTTACATTTTAATGATTGGTAAGTTTCCCTCTTTTTTGTTTTGCCCAGCGCACCCTAGAAATAGTTGAAGCCGATATTATATTACCTTTGCAGTTATTCGGGAAGGTTGACTTTCCAATTGGAATTTCTGATTTTATTTTGTGTTGAACGTTCGTTCTTATTTATTTTTCAAATCCAAATTTCAGGGTTGTGATCACGACATCATTGGTTGATCGATTCCCACCGGAACTGCACTTGTTTCGCAATTACCAGTCTCCACAAGCAACAATGGCGGAATATGTTGAAAAAAAGCGGCAGGAGAATCCCAACTGGGATTTCCCATTCAAATTTCCTCAAAAGAACTCGCTGTGGACCCCACCACCACCTCATCAGCAGCTGCAATGGCAAGCCGCGAGAGCAAGTGGAGCAGCACCCACTTATTTTAGGTTTGCATTGTTTATTTGAGTTTGTGCAGGGAATGCGGTTTTTGAATTTGTATCTGAAACGAAGATTAAGCTAGTGATTTATGACGAGGAACTTGCCCTCTTTGATCATTCCTATTTTCTCAAAAATATTTTAAAATATTGCCCATCAGGTGTTCGGCGCTTTGCCGCGAAACAGCCTATAAGTATAGATTATTACTGGATGAACTTGAACATTCAGCCGGCTTTGAACCTTGAATTGTTTCGGAATATTTCTAGAATTTTGAACATGATGCCCAGGTATGGCTGGGCCCCCCTTAGCTTGTTTATGATACTGCATTGTAATCAATTATACTCCAGTGTTTGTTCTGCTGGTCAAGCGCTGAATTTTGCGGTATATCGCCAGTGACAAATGACAATACTGTATCGAGCTTCCATTTTGTTGGAACAGTCGTTTTTTTTTTAACCCTGAGGTTTTTGGCCGTTGTTTGGTGGAACTCTTCGGGCTTCCCAGGTTTTCACGGAAAATTACCCCTTCTGCAGCAAAATCGGGACCTTGTCCCAAAAAAATGTGTGCCCGAACACACTGAAATGAAAAAAAAACAATGCATGAACTGAGAACTAAGGCCCTCAGTCATGAGGAATTCCAATTTTTTTTCCTTTTTTTTTTTTTTTTTGCTGGCAGACAATTTTTGCTGAAGATTATGCATTTTTCGAAAACTCTTCGGAATTCTGGTGTGCATTATAATGCATTCTCATGCGGAGTGTTGGACCAAGTTTAACGGAAAACATATTGTAATGGAAGCCCTTGAAAATTAGTCAAATTAATGTTAAATTTGTGTCTAAACTCAAATTTGGGTTTTCTTATTTTATTCTCGAAATTTTGTAGTTTTAGAGTCACTGAAAATGAGAATGCGGATTGAACCAGCGAATTTTTGGTTATTACTTGGCGATAAGTTTTCATTAGAATTTTCATCTGAAAAAGCGTAATGTGTGTCGATCTTACTTGAGGGTGCATGGGACTTTAGTGAATGAGGTATTCAGGTTTGTTGGGACACTCAAAAATATTCATTGACGATATCTTACGTCTTATGTGTGCAGTAACTTAATTATTACTCACTCTGACCTGCAATTTTGAAAATTGGATTGAAAATCATATTTTTTTCATATTCAGGGCATTCAGTCGATTCCTGGATGGAGGCCTGATTGCAAACAACCCAACAATGGACCTGTTGACGGAAATTTGGCAGCACAACATGGTCATGGGTCTTGTTGGTCGTAAGGAGGAGCAAGTACAAATTTCATGCGTTGTGTCTCTTGGCACTGGGATGAAGCCGATCACTGCGGTTAGTCTCATTCATAACATGATAAATTCTGCTTTTGGTTTCATGATTTGCGATTGTGTTCGAACGAATGTTGACGTTATTTGCAGATGGAGCAATGCGCAGATGCCTTTTTTCCAGACAGTCTCAGCATATTCACGGCTACGAAGGCGTATCAAAGTGCCCAAGCGCTGTTTAAAGTTCTTGTTGAAGAGGTGAGTTGAAAGTTTTATCCGTTTCGTAAGCTTGCTTTTTTCATATTAATGACTGGAATTCTAAATTAATCCGGTGTAAGCTCATGGCAAATGGTTTTAGAAAGCTGTGGAAAGCAGCGAATTTAATCTTTCGAGGAGTACGCCTTCCTTAATCAGCGTTGAAAGAAAAGAAAAAGAAACATTATGGAGCCAAGAGTTGATTGCCGTTAACTCAAAGATGCCTAGGCCTAAATTTTTCAAGTCCTCTGAAATCCCTTAGAGTTGATGCATTACAGATCTCCTCAATCGAAGGCTTTTCCAACTCATGCCTCAATGGCTCGAATTGTTAGAGCCTTTTTGCTATTTGTTTTATTGACACAGAAGAGAAAAGCTATACAGTACATGTGTTTTTAAGGAAAGTAAAGATTACTCGTGCAAATGAACCCCTGCCTCCAAGTTCAGCATCCCGTCGACTTATTTAAGAAAAAATTTAAAGCCCAGAATATCACCAATTACAATTTTCTGTAATTTTCTTCCCGTCTCTCAACAAAAATGCTTATTTCCCTTACTCGAATTTTTTATTCGCTGTTCCCTGAAGTTCGACTTCAAGAGATACGACTGTATCATTATTCACGTGATGAAATTCTTGATGTAAAGATGTGGAGGAGTTGAATGTACAGACATTCAAAGTATCCAGCTGTTCGGTTTCCAAACTACGGCATTTTCCTGACAAGTTGAATCTGATAGTATTTTTGGATGATACCAAGTGCTTCGGTGACTCTTCTTAGTTTCGTCATAGTCAACTTGCGAGTAATCCTGTCATACACTATCTGTGTTCCAAAATGTATGTGTCAGTATGTCGATGCCAACATGTTGAAGTTTCCGGTATTTTCTTGATAGAAGAATGAATTTATATTTTGCAGATGACGAATTCTGATTACCACGTGTGCGACCGATGTCGTGCGTGGTGTGGTTTGACCGGAACACCGTATTACCGATTGACGCCGAGTTTGGACAAAACTTTTCCCCTGGACGAGACCAGAGACGACATTCTCGTCGATGCCATGTGGGAAACGATGGTGTTCATGCACAGGAAACGAGCTGAAGTGAAGACCATTGCTGAGCTGCTCAAAGGTGGACCAGATATTGAGACGAGTAATGCTCCTGAGACAAATCCTGCAGCAGGTGAGCATGCATAAACGTACGAGGGATGGTTCAAAAGTTTTGAACATTTTTTGAATGCATATACTGTAGATCTAACAGAGGTTCAACAATTTCAAATTTTGTTTTACTCGCATAGCCTCATCATTTGCAACACTTCAGTTATCTACAACGCAGTATCTGCCGATTTCAATGAATTTTTCTCATGCGATAATCTCAATGATCAAAATAGTGGAAAAATTGACCATCGCGTTCGTTTCGTGAAATTTTTTGCCGGTCCGCGGGAAATTTTCAGTGTGATGAACTTATGAAAAGTAGCAATGAAGTCCGTTATCTTCACCTAAAATTTCGGGAGGACAAGGGCAGCTAAAATTATCTGATGAAATTGAAAGTTTTCGTTTCTTCCAACAACACTTCAAACAAATTTTCACATTCTGAAATAAATCATTTTAACATTTCATTCTAAGAAGCCCTTCTTTAAGCTCACTTTTCTATTTTTTGATGACAGCTGTAGCTGACGCATCGGTGCTTAACTCAATTTTCGCAAAAAGTGGAAACTTTTAAATACCTGCCGTAAAGTCTTTCAAAAAATTTTATGGAAATTTGCGGATCCGCGGGCAGAGAAAGGTTGGGGAACACCGGGTTTAGACTTTAGAGATCCTTAGGTGAAGAAAGTCACTCTGACTGAGTGATGAAAGATCCTAGTTTTGAAATTAATTCTTGGCTTAAGTTGCAGTTCTACCTCTTTTGATGAAACAATCGAACCAAACTGACACTAATGTGTAGATGGTGTGGAGAAACCCTACGCAAGGACTCGACGGAACTCGCAAGAAGAAATGCTAGCCGCTGTTGTCGCTATAGTGGAGTCAGACAGGCACCTGGACGAAGACGAAGTTGTTGGCGGCAGTGGGATGTCTGTCGACGACGTCGAAGCTGCGGCGACGACGTTTCATGCCGATGAAACTGCCGAAGACCTGGAATTGAAAAAGCGGCGTACTTCCGTCTGAAAAGACCATTTGCTCTCTCTCGTGATGTCTGCTTCGCGGAACATCTGGTCAAATTATTACGGCGTGTTGTATTCGTTTGACAGTAATTCGTTTTAGTCGTTATTATTCTTTGGATGAGACGGGATGATGTCTAGATTATGACTTTCTAGCGAACACTAATTGACGTGAGTTTCATTTTCGCAACGAGTTTAAAATGTTATAATTTGATAGAATACCTCACAGCTAGTCACTATATGCGAAATGAATCAACAACGGTTTTGATCAATTTTATAGGGCGCACTTGGCGTGCATAGCTGCAAGAACAACGGGAAAGGAACATTTAAAGAAATGTTTATCAGGGAAATCGAGAAAATTTGTTCTTTTAAATTGAACTACGTCAGATGTCGGAGGGTTCGCCTGAACCTTGAAATTTGAGTTTGGGTGAGTAGGAAAAACATTCATTTTTTCTTTACTAGTGGGTCGCATTCGTTCCGGATTCTCCGAAGTTAGGTATTCATGCGACATCTCTTCAATGACGTAGAAAGCTAAGTAAAAGGTTAGGCTAGCAAGAGTGAATGAAACCCGAAGATTGTTCTCATGATTAATTCCTCAATGATTACGTCATGTCTCGGGATCCTTGCGTCATATTACTACAGCGGTCTCAAGAGACTTGTTTTGAGATTTCACAATTAAGAGGTTCTTCGGAGAGTTCAGCTGGCGCGTGAAACATGTGCGGGTTTTTGAACATAAATTAGGTGTTGCTTGTTGTCTTGTAGCTTTCACTTGAGTTTCAAATTCTGAAAATTTGAAGGTGTTCCCGACAACTTGATTATATCTGTTGTATGTGAATTATTCATAGTGAGAGATGCCTTTTCGGCGTGTGCTCGAACCAAAATTTTCTCGGACACAAGAAACTTTTTTCAACTTGAATCAACTGTAATTCTCACGAGAACAAGAAAAATATCATGCGTACTGACGAAAGTGCGAACATTCTTCGAAAGCTTCGGGAAAATTGGAAGAATTCAAATGTACAGTATTTTAACATTGCTTTTATTGCATACCGAAGGGGAATCGTTTCGTTTTACAGTGTGGTATTCTTGAAAGGTGATAGACTAGTTGGAATCGCGGATTACGTTCGACAAGAATAATTTTGTGATTGCTTCAGCAGTAATTGTACTAAAGTTTCCGTGTGATGAGTGCCACAAACTAGCCGAGTGATAACGACTATCTTGTGGATGAGATCAGTCATGCCTTGCACAAGAATGCAGCATTTTTGGGGTTTCGTTGGGTTAGTGATTATCTAGCATTCCGCGGTATTACATCATTGGCTCTGTTCAGACGGAAGTGCATTGCACTTTCGTCAGGACATCCAAAATGTTTCTGTGAATTTGAGCGATGTTCGCGTAGAGATCATAATGAAATTTTTGATCATTTACAAATTGTCCTACGCGCTTGAAATGTGTCTGAGGTGCAATCGTGTTTCTAATGCTTCGTAGACGCGTTCTGTGGGTTCATTAATCCTGAAAGATGATATTTCGTCTACGCAGCAACTCTTTGGACCCAGTTTACTTTGACTATGAGGTCAAGTGAGCCACCTTTCCTGTGATTCGCTCTCAGGTTTTTGTTTTTGGGACAATCGAGTTTTGAGTATTGTCAGTTTCAAGCGCAGTTAATGCTATTCTTCTTTGCTGGCTTAGCGTGTCCAGGACGTTTAGACATTCCTTGAGTTTTCGGTATATTTTGAGGCTATACGGTTACCCCAGAGTATTCGATTTTACCTCGCTCTGAAATTATTATCTTGTGATGTTTTCAGTGCGTCATTCGCTTTAGTTTTTTTCGGTTCCGCAAATAGAATATTCAAGTGGAAACATTTTCTGAACATTTCAACCTGTCCATACGGGTTTGATGAACTTTTGATGTTTTTTCTGGTTCTTTTGCAGGTTTAAATCTTTCGTGTCATGTAGGTGGTGGAATGGGTGATCTGTTTGACTTTTTGCGTGGTTTCGCGCACGGGCACCACAGGAATCCTCCGTTCAGGTTTGTTCTGTGATTACTTCTTTTGAAAATCTAATGGAAACTTATTTATTCCTTCGCAGGAGAGATTTCGGATTCAATTATGGCGAGCCTCCATTTCGCAGAGATCCAGGGACGTTTGACCCACCCGGTTTTGATGATGACGAATTCTCATTCTTTGGGTAAGTTCTTTTCGAAGTACAGTACTGTATATCCCACAAAAAATATTCGGTGCGACTTGATTGTGCTTAATCGAATTATGAAAAATCGCCAATCATGCAGTTTTAATGTACTAGCGAATGTCGTTTACAAAACTTGAATTATTGCTCTCTTTTTTGTGGCTTTGACCTCCGGTACATGACAGGCCTTTTTCTTGGCTCTATTTTTCGTTTAATTTCAAGATTTTGCGAGGAAACTCTTCCACTTTCTGCCGGGATATTTTAAACTGGAATCTTCTTCCGATGCTCGTAGGGTCAAGAAGCTGTTCAGACTTGGAATTCTGTCTTATGAATCCAGCAGAAATGTCTAACTGTTCTGTAACTGTGTAAAACCTTGACTTTTTGACGACTGTCTTTAGAATTGGGTGTCGAGAAGTTTTCACCTCCCTGAGTGTTCTTGATTTCATGATTTTTCGTCGTTCCGTGGTTTTTCGCGTGCTCCGACGGCTTGTAGAGTTAATTGAATATGTGCCGCTGTCGCAATAGTTCAGTATAATGAAATTCCTCTGTAATTCTCAGGGATCGGGGAAGCTTTCCAGAGTTTGGAGGTCCGATCGACGAAGTTTTTCGGGAATTCGAAAAACATATGGAGGAGATGCTCGGAGCTTTCTCGGTCCCACCTCCTGGTTTTGGAAGCATTCGTGTCGATGAGTGGGCTCCTTCAGGCCCTCGTGATGAATACAGAAACTCTTCGGAACCAGGCCAAGTGTTGAGTTTGCGGGACGAAATGCTGAAGAAGAATCCATCGAAGAAATCTCCAGGATATTCCAGCAATGGTTGTGGTGATTGCTTGCCGTCTGGAGTTGACACGGATTTGGATGAACAAGTTCAAAAGGGTGGCCTTGAATCGTTATTGCGTCCGGTGAGTGTTCTCGTGAGCTGTGAACTTTTTTTGTGATTTTGTACGAGTGTTCGGTTGTCCCAGGATGATGGACCTGAGTGCAGGGTTTTGTACGCGTTCACGAACTGGTAATTCCAGCTACGCGTAATTTTTTAAAATACGGTAACTGATCATGATCTGTACCTCGTTATCTTGTACGATCTCTCTTCGAAGCTCAATGGAAATTGAAATACAGTTCTCTCGAAATAATAAAACTTGTTAATGTGCTGTGCATGTTTTTGTGCTGAATGTTTCTCTTTTATGAACATGTCATTTGAACATGATAAGCTGAAGCACTGTTACTATTTTTAAAGAAATTTCGAAAACATGTTTTAGAAAGAGAAGGACCCGTGAACGAGTTGTAAAAAGTGAGCAATGCAAGGGATCTATTGATATACTGTGTGCAGACTCTACTTTTCGTTCGCCCATTTTAGCCTGTATAAACTGAACTATAAAATTGCTTAGGATTCTCACAACTTGAGGTAGAAGGTTCTCTCCGAAATCTTTGAGGATCGGGATAATGTGTTAGTGTTGTATGATTTCTTCTCTAATATTCTCTTTAAATTGTTCATTCAAGTATAAATTAACTGGGAGCAGGCTGAACACCATTAATTTGTGCTTGGTAATAGCTATGTGCTTTTATTTTTGTCATTCTAAGAAAAAAATGTGTCAATTCATTATGCTAGCATCGGTATGTTCTGTGATTGATTTTTTTAAATGGCTGTGTGGCGAATTATTTTTTTGATACGCTGGAATGTGTCAAATGGGTGTGGGAATATTTCGTGAACGCTGACAAGCGGCAAATGCAGCTTGTGTATCATTCATCATACCGTTTCAAATCGAATTTTTTGCCATGTATCAGGAGAAACTCAATGATCCAAATTAAAATCTGCAGTGCTCCTGTAAAATGTAGAGCGTTCATCTGCGCCAGCGTTTATAACAAGGTGTTCCTCTAATTGGTTTAACGATTGTTCACGTACGTACGGTATACGGATATTGAATTATTGTTCTCATTACCATTATTGACCGTTAGGAAGCACCTGTGGTGGAGCTCCCCGAAGAAAATAACAGAGGTTGGTTTCGGAATACGACAATCACGAGTAAATCTGTGACGACCAGAAGAATCGGTGACAAGATGATCACCGTGACGGAGACGAGATTACCGGATGGGACGATTGAAACGAATCGAACCGTGGTGAATATGAACGAAGGTACTTCATGAATCACTCGTCAATTCCTTTGGATTGTCCGAAAAGTTGCAATATTTGTAACGCATCCTCTTCTTCGCAGATGAAGTTCCGACTTTTGAGGAATCTTGGAGTGGGAACCGGTTGCCATTCAATGAATACGAAGGTGGTAATAATTCGGATACTACCGTTGGTGTTTATGAGTCTCTGCCCTCGCAAAACGCGCCTTACAAGTTTGGAAAATTCTTCAGGAACATCCTGGATTCCTTCTCTGGTCTTCTCGGTCGTTAATTTAGTTTACTCTTTTTTCAATTGATCCTAACGAATACAGTTCGTGTGTTCCAGGATTTACCTCGTGTTATGTTTCCATACCCGTTATATTTTCTGTCGCTATACCTTTTGAACTCATGCAAGTGTGTTTATTCGTGAAAAAACGAGTATCGTGGTGCAATATAGCTTTAGAAATTGTTTTCGTGCTACATTCGTTATGAAATTGACCCATCGCTGGAGATTTTGAAGGAAGACTTCTCCCGATTTCATTTGAATCGTTTTCAATAACCACAGAAATTCATGAAGTGTCTTCGTTTTCCCTACGATTTAGTTCATCAAAAAATTTGGCTTTCGAAGCGTTTGAGTGTGTGGATGAACTGTTACGCGAATCGACTCCTGTGTTCACAAAGCCGCATATTGTCGGATTCGATCGAGTCACGCGTGGTTAAGCGACACTTTTTCGTGTCAGCGGGTAAACCAGAGGCTTCGCTTGTTCTCTCGTTGCATTTGAGAAAACGGAATTACCCTCCGTGGACTTCCTTTTTCATAAGGTGACTTGGAGAATAACTTGATTTTCTACGAGATTTTTCTAATGGATGCCTCTTCACGCTTAAGTCGCTTCTGAATAGACCTTACGAATGGGTGATTTGAATTTGATTTAATTTAGGCAATCTGACGTGACGAATGATCAATGGGGTTGGACGCACTTCAACTGGACTGTGGATGGATTAAATTACCATATCCTCAGAACCGGTTGCTACCCGTACATAAAGTACCATTGCACCAAAAGACCACTAGCTGATCTGAGGCTAGAGGATTGGTTCTTCGGGGCTATAAAGTTGATGAATCTCGGTGAGCTTGGGAATTTGTTTCCGATTTTTCGATGGTTCTTGAATATGTTCATCCACAGGAATCCCATGTCTTGCTTACGGAACGGCGGCTAGATTTCTGATTCGTAGCCGTGAAACGGTGCAAACGCCGTCGGGTGTGGAAGTGTCGATTTATTTTCTGATCAAGGAAAATCACGGAGCCGAATTCTAGTCATTATAGTCATGGCTCGAGTTACCAACAAATACGTGATCGTGTTACTGTGGGCCATGGTGTCGTTTGGTGTCGCGATTCTGTGCTTCTACGACGGGTTCTTCTTGCGCCGAAGAGTCCTCACGTCGCGTAGTGCTTCCTGCGAACTTCCGCAAAACCTCCCGCATTGCTTGTTTCCCGGGGTGCCTTTGTGCACTGCGCCGAACAACGCTGCTTTCGACAAGCTCATCTTCATTGTGATTGACGCTTTGAGGTTTGACTTTTTGAACGGATCCTCGATTCGTTGGCCCGAAGAGAGGATGCGAAACGTGAAAGAACTCGTGAACTCTCATCCGGAAAATGCGTTGATTGGGAAAGTGTTGGCGGATCCACCGACGACGACGATGCAACGTGTTAAAGCATTGACCACAGGAACGTTCCCGACTTTCATAGATGCTGGCGCTAACTTTTTTACCGGCGCTGTAGAAGAAGATAGTTTGTTGTTTCAGTGGCGTTCAGCGAATAAGTCCGTAGGCTTCGTGGGTGACTCGACATGGACTGACATGTTTCCGGATGCATTCAGCGAAGCGCATCCGTGCTCGTCATTCGATATCACAGACTTGGATACAGTTGACGAAATGGTTACAAAAAAGCTGAGGGAAGAGTTGACCTTGCCCAAGTTTGACGTGTTCATAGGACATTTCCTCGGTGTCGATCATGCGGGACATCGTTACGGCCGCGGACATCCGGAAACGGCTCGAAAGCTTCGTGAGATGGACCGCATTGTTTGCGAAACTGTGGAGAACATGGGAAATTCCACGTTATTGGTTGTTCTCGGTGATCACGGGATGACAGATAGTGGTGATCACGGTGGAGATACCGAAGACGAAACCGAAGCCGGGCTTCTTATTTTCTCCAAAACCGCGAAATTTGAAATCATTGGCGATCGTTTCCTTGAAGTTTCGCAAATTGACTTGGTACCAACGTTGGCGTGGTTGACGGGTGTAGCGATGCCGTTGTCCAATTTAGGAAGTGTGGTGCTTGACGTGATCCCGGCGTTGGAAAGAATAGATTCAACAGCGGCGAATTACTTGCAAGTGAAGGCATTTTTGGATAATTATCCAATGACGGGGTTTCCAGTGGATGAGCGAAAGACGCTGAAAAGACTTAGTGACAAGATTTCTTCTGTTTCCTGCGAGGAAGAAGGACCTAGTCGACTGAACGTGGTTGGTTTTCTTACATTATGGCATTTGCACTTCTTGCTGTTTGATTGCCTTGAGTTGCTCAACAATTTTCCTCTATAAATAAAAATTTAAAGGACCAATCAGTCAGCACACCGAAGGTATCGTCGGATATAAGTTCGGACTGAGTTTATGTCTTGACCCGAAAAAAAAAATGACTGACGGTAATTTTCGTGGTGCTGCTCATATTTGAAGGAACATGGGATCTACTAATACAGTTGAACCTCGATAACTTGAACCTCCCGAAGTCGAATTTTTTTTCACAAGTCCCTGTTTGAATTCCCTTAGAGATAGGGCGTGAATATCCTCCGTAATTTCAAGGCTTTCCCCCTCAAACCTCAAAAAGTCAAATTTTGCTTATTATTTTATGGACTGGGGAAAGAGGAAAGCAATGAAAATTTTACTTGATGGATTTTGAATGGACGTGAAAGACTATTTGGGGCAAATAAACCGTTTTATCCCAAGTTCAGCATCCTGTCACCTCATTCAAGGAGCAATTCAAGGTCCCAAAAAATCACCGATCACAATTTTCTGAAATATATTCCTCTCTCACCAAACTTAAATGTTTGTTTTCCTTCTGCGAAACCTCTTGAAGTTGATTATTTTTGGTTAGTGATCCCTAAAAATTTGACTGCAAGATTTTCGACTAAACTCGTGATTTATTCTACTCTAATTCCAATTGGTCATATTTTCGAAGAAAAGCGGCATAATTCGAGGTTGATTTCTTCTCTATGAATTAGTCATATATACTAAGCTGTGAAATATAAATAAAATAAGGTAATCTAGCCTTTGTTCTTCGGAATTGGTTTTTCGAAAGAGCTGATGACGACGGAAGTACCGAGGAAACAATTCTCTTTGCATCTGAAAGTTTCGTTCTTTTCCAGAATCAATCGCAAGTGACGGAATGGCGACGAGAATTCCTACGACTCTCCAAGACCATGTGCCGAAAGGCGTGGGTGGATTTCGATACGCTTTCAATGGCGAATGGCTTGGTATTCGCCTTGCTCGCTTTGGGCACGTGGATTTCTGTGTGCCTCGTCCCTTTGTCAGCGATATCAGATGTGTTTCATCGCCCGCTCCTGAACCTCTTGTCCATTGGAACTTCGGGGATAATTCTGTTCTGGCTTTGTGTTCAATGCACGGGTTGGCTACCGGAAAACATCGCATGGTCCGCCATTTTCGCGACTTCTTGCGGAACAGAAGCCCTCGTGTTGTCGAACGTAGTTAAGCACGGAAAGATGTTGAGCATTTTGAAACAGCGGTATTTTCCGTGGATGACAATTGTTGCTGTGGTGGTGCACTCGTGTTTATTCGCATCAAACAGCTACGTGGTTCGCGAAGATGCGGTAGCTGTGTTCTTCTTTGTTACATTCGTGATCATCGAGACGCGGAGTGCGGATGTGGAAACGTTTTTCAAGTGTAATTTCAAGACTTTGGATTCACAAAAAACGAAGTTCCACAAGCAAATTAAAGCGACAAGAAGTAACTTGCTTCGGTTGATCATTGTCGGATTTTCCGTCGCTGCAGTTGCGAAGACTGTGCTCGTTCTTTTCCGAAAGTGCCGCGAGGAAAACGTTGGCTGTGAACCCTGGATCACTCACAAACCAACCAACGGGCTTCTTCACGATTCGGAGAAAAGAGCCAGAGTTTTATCAGCAAGTGCAGCAGTGGTCATTGCCACGTTCGGGAGTTGGACTCAAACCCCGTCTGCAATGATCGGAAATGAGATCACTTTGAAAGGAATTGTGATGCGGTACGTGCCGTGGTTCAACTGCTTTGCCTTGACGTGTTTCTGGTGCAGTTTCTGCTTGCCGAAGCGAGACTGGGCCGCTGCGTATGAGCACATTTATTTGTTCCCTGCGTATGTGTTGCTCAGCTCTTTGATTGCCAGTGTGTTCGTGTTGTGTTCAAGACGGCAAAAGAGCATCGGTGCGACAGAACTTTTTCATTTTGTCAGTCTGTGTTTGTTTCAAGTTTTGTGCGTATTCGTGGGAGATGCGTACATGGTATCTTTTGCGGCACTGAAGATATCTTTGGTGGTGTTTGCGAGGGGCTTCAAACCGGAACGTGTTCTTGCGCTCGGAGCCCTGGCGAGTGTTTTCTTCTTCGCCACGGGTCACCAGAATTGCTTCGTTTCACTGCAATGGGAGTCAGCGTTTGTGTTCGGTCCGCTTTCGAGTAACTGGGCTTCGGCTTTGGCTGTGCTCATTAACACGTTTGCAGTTTATATTTTGGTGGCCTTCGAGTTATTCGGATTAGTGATGGGCGAGGAAGAAGGTGATGAGAACGAAGGCTACAGCGAGCGGAGTTTCAAAGTCGCCGTAGTGTATCTCACGTGGCTAAGTGTGCGGCTGTTCGGGTGTGCCATTGCTGCTGCAGTTCTGCGACGTCATCTCATGGTGTGGAAAATCTTCGCTCCTAGGTTTCTGTTTGAACTTGTTGGGTTCTGTGTATCCGGCGTTTTCCTGCTTGTTGGGGCTGGGGTCGGGAATTGGGTGCGATGGCGAGTTGGAGAACCGCGACGTTGGACCAAACTTCCGTGAGATCGATGTGTAGGAAAGAAAATTTGGTGATTCTATCCGTGTCGTATCGCCGATTGTAGTTCCTTTTTTATGCGTACAATGTTCGGTTGCACGCTCAGGTTTGATTCGTTGCAACGAATCTCTTTATAACGAGTGTTTTGTTACAACGAATTTTTTTTGGTCCCATTAGTTTCTCCAGTCTCCACAAGGGAATATTACGCAAAATTCTTTCCTCAACAAAATTAAAATCTCAGTATCTCAATTATTTCCTTTGAATCATTTGAATGCAGATTTTTGTGCACAAAAAGTAGCGTCGCGTGAAGTATAATGTCCTGACCAAAATTTATCTATCTCTATTGTATAATAGGATTCAGAAATCGCTAATTAAAAAAAAAAAAACGTTCGAAGGAATACTGTTCCATTTCAGGGAACATTCAGTTGGTAATGAATAAATCTTCTTCTTACGCGTGTGTTCTTGGTTAATCCGAGCCTTTTTCCTTCATTAAGATCAGTGTATTTTTCGGAAATTCAATGTAGGGTAGGTCTGGAATATGACAGTTGTATTTTATTTGTTGTATGTTCTCTGTTCTTGCATCAGAAGAAGTTTTAAATAAAGACAATTTTTCATTTATCTCTTGTAAAAGTACCCTAACTCTTGAAGTATTGTTCACCTCTTTCCTGTGAAATTTCAATTATACATGCTCACCCTGACAGAACCAAAAATATCATTATTACAAAATTTGTACTATAATACATTTTTCTCGGGTCCCTGGGAGTTTGTTGTAATGAGATTTTACTGTATGGATATTGTACCAGTGAGCAATGCATATCAAGTCCGGAGTATAGGTTCTGGAGGTCAAGGCAGATATCAAACATAGTATAATGGCATCAATTGGAAAACAACTGTGTTCTGCCATATTTGAATATTTCAGGTTGGATCTATAATCATTTTTGAGGTTCTTTCAATGCCATTGATTGAGGGTTGATATTCTTTTCCTCATATGCTTCCTCGAAAATCTTCGAAGAATCAACTGTGGCAGAGTTGCATTTTACAGAGTACTATACTGTACTTCGGAAATAAGCGTTGGCTTGTTCGCCGGGTGCTTTCAAAAACGTGCGATGCTCTTCAGATGAATTCTCTGGGATATTTTCCTACTTCGAGACGAAGATCATATTTATGGAGATCTCTGAAATTGTTGAAATGCATTCGTGCATATATTGCGAATTATTTTCGCATTTTTAAACGTCATGTTATGTTCGATTTGTTGTTGACATGTGCCATTTGAATTTTCAGGCATCGTATTTTTCGACGCTGTGTATGTGTAGTTATGGAATCTAGTGTAGACTGGCGATCAATGGAGAACGACTTTTCATTGCATTGCGATGATGTGAAAGAAGATTTCTTCTCAGATCAGGAAGTCCAAGAGGTGCTGAAAAATCAATTGGCAAGCAGAGATATTCAAAACGACGTGAAAGTATCGAATCCAAGACGTGAGTTGGTTTTTATTCGAGTTACTCCGAGAAACAGCACAATATCATATTTCGATACGTACCTCGTGCTCCTACGATGTGGCCTATCCAATATTTGTTTCTCTACGTCCAGACGTATCCTGAGCGAAAACCATTGCTGGGAATGTTTTCCTTTGTGTAGATTTACTCTACAGGAGGCCGAGATGAAATAAGAGGCGTTGGTGGTATAGCGGTTAGCATAGCTGCCTTCCAAGCAGTTGACCCGGGTTCGACTCCCGGCCAACGCAATTACTTTTTCGTGCATTTCTGTCGGGCTCCCGGTGCGGGTTTATGTAAATTTCGAAGTACTGTGGTACCAGCGAACGTTTGATTTCGCATGTTTGCTAATTATTCATTGGCTCGCATTATGAGATTCTTCTGTTATCAGGGAATGAAAAAAAAAACCCAACTTCAAATGTTTGCTGAAGAATCCTGGTCAAATTCTGGCATCACATTTGTGTAGTCTACTCTTGAATTTTTAGTGTTGCCACCGTGTTTCCGTGCTGGTGCTCGTACTGTGTCATGTTTTTAAGTTTGATGGTGTAAGGCTCACCATGCAAAAGTTTGAAAAGACTGCTTAAATCCTGAATTTTGAATTGATTTTTTGTTTAAAAAAACTGAGAAAATTTGGCAACAAACGTAAAAATTTTGACGTGTAAGAAAACCAACTTGAACTTGGTATTCTGAGGAGCATCAACTTTCCATGTAAACAGGCCTTGCTGCCTGTAATTTCTGGAGAAGAGAATTTCTAAGTTTTCTAACTAACCCTCTCAAATAGAACAAATAAGTGTTGTACAGTACCACCTAAAGATTAATATTTATATTTCTGGACAAAAATATGTTGTGCCTTGTTACTCTCGCCAGATCTGGTCAAAGAGCCCATGCAAAACATGTTTTTTTTCACTCCAATAGGTAGAAAAATGGACTGCATTTCAATAGCATGAATACAGTCAAACCCTGATTTAGTGCCAATTTTTTCCTGGCGCATTTTGTGGCACTAAGCAAAGGTGGCATTAAATTGGGGGTTTTGTTTCAGAAGAAAATTATTTTAATGGCTTCTAATAAATGTGAAACAGGCTCTTTTGCTGCATTTTTAGGCCATTGAGTCTCTTTTATAAAAGAGAGGACCACACAAGATAATTTGAGGCTCGAATGAACTTTTTCATTGCATTTAAATACTGTATATATTTTATTACAGAATACATGCAATTTTTTGCGTACTGGGCAAAGGAACAGAGTGGGACTGTTTAGTTAGGGTAGAGGACTAGTGAAGGTTAATCAATCTCTTATAGTAGTCAGTGAACAGACTATGATCTAAGAATATATGTGTATCTAATCCCCTAGACCAATTATTATCATTATTGGGGGCTCGTCCGAATTGGACTGTTATCCCTCTCACTGTTACATGAGCTACGAACTGCTCACACTCGACATACTTCAAAACATTGCTCGTCGCTACAACATCAC